TGAAATTTCTTTATAGAAAGATCTCCTTATTTCTTCACCGTGTATTATCGCGTTATTTTCTTGAAAAGATATTATATCACCGTGGGAAAGTTTCAAATGAGTAATGCTTACCATTCCTCTATTCACACAAACCCTTCGATGACTTATCGGCTGCCTTGCTTGAGGAATAGTTTCAAGAAAATGGAGACGAAGCGGAATAACGTCAAATCTTGTTTTTGGATTGAGTGGAAAAGGGTTATATGAAGTTCGTTTTGTTCCTCTGTGCATCTCTGTGATGGGTAAATCCCCATGAAAAAGGGGCAACTTTCGTGTAGTTTGTAATTGTATGTAACTGGTAAGATATTTTTTTGGATAAATCTTTCTCTTCTTAATAGATCTCTTCCTGTTCCTCAATCTTCGGAGAATGCGGCGTTGTATTATTGTCAGTAGACGACATTTCCTGAAAGTAGACGACAAGTTTGAAATCTTAATGGGGACATATCTAGATCTCGTTGAATCAGTTTTTTAAGCAGCCACATTGCGTCCATGGGACTCGAACCCAATTCTGCAACAACCCCTGTTCCTGTCCTTTCTTTGTTTTGTTGATCTATTCCTCTTCACGTTGTCTTTTTAAAAAAGACTGAAAGTATGGGCTATTGACACCATGGTCAGAAAGAGATTTGAGGACTTTTCTAAGTCCCGCTTCTACGATAAAGTATTTCCGGTTTTAATAAAGCGAGCGCCACTCTGAATCCACGATCCGTAAGGATCTAGCTCCGCCATTTTGAGTAGCACTTCTTTCTTTTTTGAAAAGGCCACAAAACTCTTTTCAAAAAAGAAATCTACAGTTTTTGGTGGTTCATTTTTTTGTGAAAGAAAGAGACGGAAAGCTATGTCCTGTACAGTTTCTCCTCCCACCTGAGGGCGAAGTCATTACTCGACTGAAAGGAGAGGGAACTCGAGCATTTATTGCGAGAGGGAGAGGAGGGGGTTGACTTTTTCTGTCAGGCAAATTTCTTTCTAGTGGTAAGTGCTTTCAGCCAGTTCTAGTCCTTTTATTATACGCTTATTGGCGTTAGCACATTCTTTTTTCTTATTGGATGGAGTGGTTTTGCCATCTGGAGTTTTAATGGAAGTTTGAGTGCGCCAATGCTTCCGCCTTTTGGAAGTGTCTGCCTATATCTATCCTCCCCATTTAATCAGTCTCTGTCCTTACCTTCGACGGTAACCCCTTTACAGTACAGCACTCCCGTTTCCGGCAGTGCCTTCCCCCCCCCCCCTAGTCTAGACCGAGTATCAATAGTTGTAGTTCCTGTCCGTTATGGACCCTTCGTACCTTTCAAATCCAATCAATGTGTGGTGTGTATCCAAGGGCAAATGCAATCTCTGAATCTGTTACAGCCATTGTAGCACTAGGTGCCTACCCATAAGCAGTAGTTGCCCTTGAATGTGCATCAAATCCTAAGACAAGCCTATCTATTCTCACTTCTTAGTCTAAAGCACTCAAATCCCTTCTAAGGAGCCAGCCCTTTTTGAATCCCTCTCTTTTCTTCATGCTGGGAAGCAATTTTCCCTATCCCCCTGACTGGCGAGGCTTCTTCTAAACGAGTGGAGTTCAGTTAGACTGCCCCTTCTTTCTCGTGCTCTCCGTCCAAGCGAGCTAACTCCTGATCTCCTGTTGTAAAGATCTCCAGACCAAGGCTACTCTTACCAGTTGACATCCATCCTGTTGCATTCCCAGCGGCTTGAGTTCTATTGGATGGGGTTCTATACGAGCGTTCCATACCGTCTCTTGGGATTAAACTGAATGAAGTTGGACTCCCTTCAAGAGATAGATTTCTTTCCACGATAATATATATATTTTCTTAAGAAAGAAGACTCGAATATCATTGGGAGTGCACTTAAGCCAATTGGAGTACTAGGCCTTCTGTTCCAGTGACAGTTATAGAAAAAAGCAAAGCCCTCCACTCATAAGTAATAAGTAATTGAATTCCTTACCAGTCCGTCCTACCAGCTCTTCTGTCTTCCTTTTTAAAAGGAGCTAATGATACGGATGTTCAAGCTTTGCCAGAAGCCTTTTGCAGAGAGAAAGTTCGAAGATCAGGCAGGATTGGATTGAAAATCAATCTCCTCAATATTCAATTTAAGTGGGTCTATCAATACAAGTGGTAAGACCGATAATTCAGCATCCAAGACCTGGCTAATGTCTACTTCAAATTCAAGTGCCACTTATCTTTACACAACTCGGGCTAATCGACTCCCAGCCTATCCCGACCTGGTCCTTTCGAACCAGTCTTTATAAACCTGGTGAAAGCAATCAAGCAGGACTTACCTCCTGGGAGCCTCCTTCCTTCTATTCTGAAACCTAGAAGGAGAACTCCCAGCTCTTGAGCTGATTGAATGTTTTTGTTCACTGCTAATCCTTCTGTCCTACTTTACTCTATTATGAGACCTCACCCTAGGCTAGGGAACTGGTTTCAGCCATGCCCTTATTTGACTCCCAAGACCGGATACATAGCTCTTCTAGGCGGGTCAAATTCAAATACAATGAGTGCTTAGGGAAAGTAAGAAAGAAAGACATAAAGCCGAATCCGGTAATCCTACTGCTACTAAGACTGCTCCGTCTTAGGGCTAGGAGTTCAAGCGCGGCGTAACGGGGGTTGTCAGCGTAACAGCTGGTGCTCTAATCTGAGCTGAGAAATAGGAACTGCACTTCTACTTTATTTATTTACTATATTCCCCCCTCTCTAACCCAAGTCCTAGAAGTGAATGAGGAATGAAAGAACTTCTGCTTCCGCAATGAGACGCTAAAGTCCTTAAATCAAGGAAATCACAATGATTCTCTTATTCAGTAGTTCAATCTTACTTTCTTATCTGCCGGGGAAGCGTTGAATGAATGTGTAATGATGTCCATCAGGGGAGATCTTGACCAATGGCCGCGCGATGTCCGAGTTCCTGTTGTGTTAAGCATGAGACTGTTCGAGGTGGTTTGTCTCAACCAGGCTGGATCAATACCGAGCTGTTCTTATGCTAGTGTGTTCTATGCGGTTAACAGGTAGGAGGAACCAAGCTTCTCCTCTCTCAACGGAGGAACCTAGCTTCTCCCGTTGGTCAAGCGCCTTGCCCCTGGTCTGAGAAGGTAGCTCTCCTAGTAGCAGTTGTCATTGCTACTCTACTATGGACCAACCTATCACCTATCCTTGTACATAAATGCATTTGTAATAGAATAGGTTCTTCTTTCTCTGTGCTATATCCCAAAGGCTTTCATTCGTAGCATCAATCAAGTCAGTTTATGAAGGGAAATCCGTTGAACAAATCACTCCGTGCCTCCCCTCAAGCTCTAGTTCCGATGCAAAGGGAAAGAAGGGATGCTGTTCATGCGGGGAAGAAGGACATTTTCAGAAGAATTGTCCTAGTAGAAAGGCTTATCATGATAAGACAAAAGACCAGAACACAGTAAGAGGAGAGTCTGCTATGGTAAAAAGAACAGAGGTCAAGTGAATGTCCTATATGCAGCTGAAGCCTTGAATATTACTGATCTGGATCTTGAACAAGAGTGGATCATGGACACAGATTGTTCTTACCACATGACACCCAAGAAAGATTGGTTTGATGAATTGAATGAAGAGATCACAGGGATAATCAAGATGGGAAATGACACAACATCATCAGTGAAAGGAATATAAAGTATAAAGATCCTAAATGAGGATGGAACAGTGGTGATTCTGACACAAGTGAGGTATGTATCAGATTTCAAGAGAAACCTTATCTCACTAGGAACACAGGATTCACAGGGTTGTACATATAGAGGTGAAAATGGAATCTTGAAAGTGCTAAAGGGTTGCAGAGTTGTTCTAAGAGGAAAACAGTACGACAGTCTATACTTCCTACAAGGAAAAGTTGTTGAGACAGAAGCTCTCATAACTGAGGACAAGAAGGATGAAACTTCACTGTGGCACAGCAGGTTAGGCCAAGTCAAAAAGGGCTAGAACTGCTGGTGAAAAAAGGGTACATTGATGGTAAGAAGGTGTCATCTCTTTATTTCTGTGAAGACAGCATATATGGGAAGGCACACCGTGTAAGCTTTGGAGTTTCAAAGCACACTACAAAACTACCATTCCTCCAAGAGAAGAAATGGCACCAAATTTGGTCACTGAAGCACCTTTCGTCAATGAAGGAGTTATCCTCCCCGGCAACAGAGTAGGATAAATGCCATGAAGCTTCCCCGGTCCCTAGGGTGGGCTTTCCCAGACCAATGCAATACCTATATTCTCACTTTACTTCTCTCTGGCAGCTATTGAAATGGAAGTTGGTGAAATGTATGATTGATTTCAGCTCTCTAGGACAGTCAAAGATCCTTTCTTTAGTCCTGCTTTACTATATGATGCTCTACTTTCCCGGTTTTCTGGGAATCCCGGGGAATAAGGTATACTATGCTTTTTCGTTCTCATTGTGGTTCTAGCTCTGGCTGTTTACCT